AGCCACAGGGTGAGCCACACTGTACCTGGGTCCCAAAACAGACCCAAGCTGCAGACACTGCATGCTCATACGCATGCAGTGGTGCTGGGATCCGCCCCTGCCCTGCTGCTGCAGGGAAACCAGTGATCCCAGCAGGAGCCCTGTGGCTGCTGGGGCCAGGTGGACCCCGGTGTCCGCAGCAGGGAGCTAGGGAAAGCACAGGCAGCCCCGAAACTCCCTGCTCCCAGCAGAGCCTGGCAGACTCATGACCCTCAAAGAGCAGGGGTGCCCATGGCCCTCGCAGCGCTGAGCCCCTTGCTGGTCCCCCTGGACAAATGTGAGGCCAAAGGTGCTGAGAGGAGCCCTCTGTGAGCTCTGGGAGGGGAGCAGCAGGGAGACCTCCACTATCAGAGGTGGCTGATGCCTGCTCAGGGCCCTGGAGGCGAATCTGGGCTCGTGAGATCTCTGAGGGTCTGGGACTCTGGCAGTCAGGAAAGCAGCTCTGCAGGGCGGGCAGCACACCTGGGGCTGCAGAAGCATTTGTAAAAACTGAGGCTGCGATTGGAGGCTAATAGGCACTTGAATGAGTAAAACAATGATAAAAAACCGTTATGGAAGGAACTAGAAAAAGGTTCATCCCCCCACCCCCAAAGAGACGAATGGGGCACTCGTTTGGGTAAACCAGGGACAGGTGACAAGGACCTCAGCCCCCACTGCCCTGAGGAAGGGCCCAGAGCAGCCGCGGCTGAGTAGGGCAAGAGCGGGGGCTCCTCGAGGGGGGAGGCCCTAAGACCCCTCACATGGGTGAAGACGCACACTCCGGGGTCAGCTCCATGTCGAAGGTCAGCGACTCTGCGGGGACACAGCTGGAGGTTACCGGGCCGGTGCATGGCCGCGGCCAGGACCCCCACCAGAGCCACCAGACTCACCAAACTGCCCTCCTGCGTTGGCCTCCGCGCCCTCGCTGCTGTTGCCAAACTGCATGAGCGAGTCCAGGGTGCGCGGGGACATGGGCAGGTCGATGGTGTTGCTGAAGGAGGTGCTGTCCGAGGGAAAAGCACGGAAACCCCCAGCGTCAGGGCCCAGCCAGAACTCCCCAACCTCCCCTGTCCCCCCAATGGGCCCCAGGGCACGGCACAGCCATCCAGGCCGTGCTCCAGAGGAAAGGGGCCCCGGGAGGGGAGGGACAGGGCTGCAGCCAGGGCAGCTTCATGGCACCAGGACAGAGACCGAGCAGCGGTGGGGGAGAAACCCCACCTCAGGCGGAGCCGAGCACACAAATGCCAAGAAGCCCTTACGGGGTGACACAGATGAACTTGGTCTTCAGATAGGGAGCAGCGCCTGCGGAGGAGGGAGCAGCCCCGTCGCCAGGTGCCGGAGGGAGAACCCTGCTGTCCCCCCGTCCCTGCCCCTGCGCAGCCCCCACCTCACGGGACCCCACCACCAGGTCCACGCCGTGGCTGTGCCCTCGGGGACCAGCGCAGGATCCCGGCTGTGACAGCTCTGCCCCCAGCACCGCCCTGGAGCTGGGGCACAGAAAGTCAACGACTACCTGAGTCGGTGGCCTCGGAGTGCTCCTGGCTCTCGGAGCGGCAGTACTTCCCAAACGCCTCCTCCTTGGGGATGTCGGGGTACAGGTACACCAGGGGGGACACCAGGATGTTGGTGGCATCCATGATTTTGTAGCCCATGATGATCTCCGCGAAGGACATGTTGTTCAGCTGCTGCTTGGTGTAAGGCTCCACGGACTGGATCTGGGTCTTCCCTGCGCAAGGAAAGGAGCCTTTTGACACGGGCCAAGACACACAGGACACCCGCGTTCCCGGGGCAGAGGCAGGCTTTTCCTCAAACACTGCAGGACGAGATGGGCCTGTGGCCGTGCTCAGCCCCAGGTGTCCCACAGCGGACCATGGCAGGACAAGGATGTGTCAGGGGGTTTCAGTGCCGCGGAAAACTGTGCTGTACGGGCAGCACCTGCACAGGGGCACCCAGAGACCAGGAAAGGGCACCTGGGCTTAAAGACTCAACCAGGGGAGAGGGCTCATCGGGACACAACAAAGTGTCTTCTGAGGGGATGTTCCCATGGTCCAAGCCCCCTCCAGAGCCAGGAACGCTGGCTGAACCACAGCGGTGATGGGGGCAGAGCCAGGGCAGTGCAGGGAGAGCCACGCACCACTGATGTCCTTCTCCACCCAGGTGAAGGTGATGCCGCCCTCCTTGCTGCTCTCGCTGAAGCGCAGCAGGAAGGTGCCTGGGGGCTTGGTGCTGAGGATGGCTCGCTCCCGCTCCTTGCTGATGAACCCCATGATGTACCTGGGCGTGGGGAAGAGAGGAGAGGGTCAGGACAGTGGGGCAGCTGCTCTGCAACACAAACCCTCACAGCTCTGCAGGGCCCAGCCTGGCCACTGGCATTTTAGGAATTCCCAGCGGACAGAGAGGGGTTTCACCCCGAACCAGCCAACAGAGCCTGGACAGACAAAGCATCCCAGGAGAGCCCACCTGGACATGGCCCCCACCCTCAGGACAGGATCTGTGGACCCCCCCACGGCCCAGCCCAGGCCCAGGCTCACCCTTCGTTCCACAGCGCCAGGATGTATTTCTTCACCAAGTCGATGATGTTGTCCAGCCAGACCCAGAAGGAGAAGCCTTTTCCAGCCATGTTCTCCTAAGGAGAGGGCACAGGGGGCTGAGCACGGCTTGGAGGAAGGGAGCAACCACGGGAAGGGCTCAGGAGAGGACAAGGAGTTTTACCTTGCAGAACTTGGCCCAGGTGATCTGGCAGCCGGAATAATTCACGCCCGGCCCTGGCACAGAACAGGAGCACCAGCGTTCAGATGGAGCTGTTCCTCCACAGACCCATCCCCAGGGAGCAGCCCGAGGTTTGTGGTGTTTGGGGGAAACTGAGCCACTGGCAACTCCAGCTCCCCTTCCCAACACCACGACCTGGCTCCCATAGCACACAGCCAGCCAGCCAGCCAGCCCGAGGGACAGCAGGTACAGCAGGACGCCCACGCCGCGTTACCTAGGAGCTTCTCTGCCAGCGTGGTCAGCTGCTCGATGCTGAGCCCGCGCTTGGTGGTGGAGGAGAACTGCCAGCTCAGCACCTCCGCAACCTGGTCCCATGTCCCGATGGGGGGCTTGGTGAAGAAGTTCACGTTCTGCACAGGGGAAAACACGGCCCTGAGCAGGACACGGGGCAGGCAGGAGCGAGGCCCAGCGCTGCCACCAGTCTGCAGTTTCCCTCGGCAGCTCCTTCCCCACCTGTCGGGATGCTTCCCAGCTGCCCCCACAGAGCCCGGCCCTACCTTGGGGTTGTTGGTCAGCATGTTGTACCACAGGATGGACGCCCAGGCGTTGGGCATCTGGCAGATGTTGGAGATGACCACCACGGGCAGCGAGTGGGTCTGCAGAGACAGGACGTGACCTGGGACATCTCCCCGGGGCTCCGCTGTGCCCAGGCAGTGGCAGTCACCCACACTCACCTCCAGGTCGATCTTCAGCCCCTGGTGGTACACCTCTGTCTCGAAGGTGATGAGGTGCAGCTCCTCGGTGACTATCAGCGAGGCCTAGGGTAGACGGGGACACCGTGAGCACGCAGCAGACACCTGCCCTTGGCCTGACACGTGGCCTTAGGGCTGCTGGGTGGCCAGGGCTGGTCTGGCAGCTGCCAATGTGCCAGAGGTGCCCGTGACAGCCCTGGCTGTGCTCGGCTGCTGGACAGGAGCAGAGCTGCCATCAAAGGGCACCCAGCGCCCCCCAGCACTTACGTCGCAGTTGGCTCTGCCTCCGTTACCGCACCGCTGCTCCCGCAGGGTCTGCAGAGAGAAGGAAGAGGCTGAGGCAACACCACAGCAGCGCACAGCCCTAACAGGAGCAGCCGAGAGCTCGTGTACCCACCAGGTGCTTGAACTCTGCTGAGAGGCTGCCGTTGTTGGACTCCTCCATGTTCATGACTTTGGTGTTTGTCCCCAGGATGTTGAACTTCCGGGACCTCGAAAGGGGAAGGCACAGCGTGGCTGACAGGGCCCCCAGTGCAGGACGCTTGCCAGGATTAAAAGCAGAAGCAAGAACAAACCCAAACATTGCACTTACCCCCGAAGTGCTGCAACATCCCCGGAGTCCCTAGGAAAGGAGAGAGACACCCAGTCACGGCCACGGCCTCCCCACCCCAATGCTGGTGTTGCGGCTGGCTGCATTGCAGCATCGAGTCCCACAAACCCCTCAGGTCCCCTCAACATGGGAACAAACCCTGGGACTCAGCACTGCTCCCCACCCTCCCCTTCTACTGGAGGGGATGCCGGTCCTCGCTGCAAGGATGGAGCCCGCTCCAGGACCAGCAGCAATGCATCTCACTCTGATAACCCCACACAGCACTGCGAGACCAGGGTGCAGGACTCACTTGTCAATGCAAACTTTGATCTTCAGCTGATAGTTCAGCTCTGGAAACTTGACCAGCAACCTGCAAGGGTCAGCAGAGGCAGCGTGAGCGCCCTGCGCATACAAACAGCCCCAGTGCAGCACCCCTGGCACAGA